TATTCTTCTGTGTGGAAAGGTGGCTTAGGAGGTTTATTGCCTCTCTTCATTCCACTGAATATGTATAATCAATCCAGTGCTCCTGGTAGCAGAAGGTTGTAATTCTTTCCTCTTCAGAAGCTTGCATGAATCATATATGTTGTGCAGTAATGGGCAATGACTGAATGGTGCGGCACACGGGTCAGCTTAACAGGGTGTTATAATGACAAAGGGGAACATTAGCTAAGGAAATAAACTCCCTGAATCTTGGCCAAACGCGCTGATTTAATCCAGCAGAGCCAAAAACACCCACCTGATGACACTGAATATGCAATTAGATGGATATTACAGAACATGTTTCACTTGTTGACCCTCTCTGTCATATGAAGGCTCAAGGAAGTGTCTTGTCTCTTTATCTAAATATACACTCTTGACTCTTGGCTGAATGAAGGCCATCGCCTACTGCAAATAAAATCCCTATCTTCGCGCTCTCCCATCCCCAACATGAAGACCTATCAGGAATCCTGCATGGGTGGACATGTAGGCTTTCCTAGGAATGACAGGGTCTGCTAAAGAGGAACCCCACCCTCGCTTTCTCCGGCATGCCAACACAGAGGAGAGTGGGCAGCGCTGAGACGGCAGCCTGCCGTGGGCACTGCCAGGCTTAAAGCTGCCCTGTCGTCATCAGAGGCTTGCAGAAAAGAACGCTGAGATTCACCAAAAAAAAAAGAGGAGGGGGATCGTTGCATTTAAATCCTCTCTCAACGCCCCCACATGTTTTAGCAAAGCATAAAAATCATTCACAGAGAGAGAGAAAGCGAAAAAGAAAAAGATAGAGGGAAATAGAGAGGAAACAGCTATTAGCAGCAGTAAGCAAGCTCAAGAGATCATAGTGAGGCAGCTCTAATCGCAGTAATGGTTTAAACCCTCATTCCATCCACCAGATGCAAGAAATGTCTACCCAAAAACAAGGCTTTGAAATCCCCCATGTCTAAGAATGTGCCCTGTGGCTATGGTCCTTACTGAAAAAAAAATGAAAACAACAACTCCAAAACTGTCTCCACTTTTGGAATAACTATGAGGTAAAGATAGCTCCTGTGGCCTGTGTTGTTTACACCGACTACATCCAGGAAACATGCCTGTATCAAAATAAACACTCTTTATTATTTGAAATTATATGCAGCGTACATAAATGTCTGAGAAATCAAACATAAGAATACTGTCATGGGTGCACATGAGACCCAACTCTCTGCCCTCTAAAATAAAGAAGTTCCTTAGTTAATTTTGAAACACCACTTTTCATGGAGGTGGCTTAATTTGGTTAAATGTTGCACTAATGTCCAGGGAAATGTATCCTGGAGAAATGCAAGCATTAGTAATAAATACATATCTCAAAATAACTCCATTGACGAGTTACACTTTATGCATTATTATCAGTTTATAAACTAAAATAAATCTAATTCGGTTCTTTTACAAAGTACATTAAAGTTCAATTAAACTCAAAGTTTCATGATGGCTTAAGAAAAACTCTCAAACATAATTTGTTTGTGCCAAAAGTACACCTGGATGAGTTGCAATGCAACAAGATATCTACACAGCTTTTAATCCTTTCTAGTTCAGAGGTCTTATTTTTGGAGTCTTCTTAATTTTCACTATTGTTTTATTCTTCTCTGCAGGCAAAGCTTTATCTGACAGGTTTGTCCTTTGGCCAATTTTGCTGGTTTTCCAAAGAGCCTCTATCAACATAAAAAAAATTAAATAAAAACAAAAATAAACCCAAGTAGCTTTTCCTTTATGTGAAAGAAATTTCCTAAAAGCATTTTTTGCATTTATAGCACATATTAACGTTGAACTGAGACACTAAGATTTTAAACAAGAAAAGGTGTTAACATTTCTAAACTACTTTCAGCATAATTAATCTGCATCTTTAGTAAACAATTAATACTCAACAGTAATGTGCAGTCTAACATAAGGAAAGATCTTCTGTATAGGTATCAGGATTTAACCAAAAGGGAATTTTGACGATGACCTTTGAGACCCAGTTTATAACACTTGGTTTCTAAGTAAAGATATTTGTATCTTGTGAATCTTCCAATTACAGCATTGGCTCCTCATCTTTGTGAGTGTCTCTAAAGGCACTCTATACAGCAAAGTCTCAGTGGATCCAATAAAAGAGTTGGTTTGGAAAACCAGGAACAATGGATGACAGCACTGCATTGGCTCTCATGTTACAGCTGGTGAGTGTGACATTGACGAGGGTGAGAGCTACTTCCTAATCTAAGTGTCACTCCCAGAGGTCACTTGGATCTTGCTGTGTCAGCAGTCATATATGACAATTTTTCAGAAGTTTGGATTTACACAAACAGGCCACTTTTCAATTAGCATACTGTCTTTTGTTTGTCATTTTGCATGTTTTAACAATTGTTCTTCAATATTTACACTGAAGTTAACAGATACTTCTGGTTCAGAAAATGCATCAGGGTGCGAGACTGAAACAACAAGCAACGTTTTTTCAACTCAAGTATTTCCCTTTATTTCTACAAAGACACTTCTCATGAGGTTACTGTGCTACGAAATGTTGGATATAACTGTAGTCAAGAAAAGCTATAGTTCCCATTTTAACAAATGATTGTGATAATTTGTAGCTCTTCAATTGGTGCTTCAGATATTTACTGGTATTTAACATTTAATGTAACTATATTCTAATCTGACTATGATTGTGCATTCCCATTTAAACATGAACCTTTCTTAGTCTATATTGTACAATCATGGTTGAGTAATCGAAAACATCTGACAGGAAATGAAGCAGACAACTGTTTCATTTTCTACTGTTCAGAGGTTAATTTTTTTCATAAACAAAGAGAAAGAAAGTCTGTGTCTTTTAAAACTTCAAATTACAATCATTTCTGAACATGTTGCCTTGAAGTAATATGGTCAGGTTTATTAAATTTCCAATCCTTATTATCACATCTTTATTTGTGAGACTAACCAAGTCATGTTGTTATAGTTAAGTCCCATTAGCCAATACATCCCACTTGTTTCAAACTGTAGATGCTTTTGAGGCTTTTGTGTGTAATTAGGATTTCTAAAAATGCTTCATCAACACACATGCCAGGTTTTGCTAACACATAAGTTCAAGTGGTGAATCGTTACTCTGAAGTTTGAACATAGAAATCTGCAGTTTCTGCGGCCCTTTGCTTTTGTTTTTGGTTATGAGCACCTATTTAGAGGCGGGTGTATGGGACTTCTGCCCATTGCGCTCCATTACAATTACTCAGCAGGCATGCATCCCGTCCCAGTAATGAAGTGGGTGTTACTGTGGGTGGATTTGAGCATGAGCGGCCACTATTCTGTATTCCTACTACTGGGTACAAGGGCTGAGTGGCAGAGAATAGCAGCAGCGCTGGCAGCATGGCACAGTGACAGAAAGTGTGGTGGACCAGCAGACCAACCACAGAACCACAGGCAACAATGTGATCCTTCAATAGTGCGTGTTTACTTAAGTGTCAGGAGAAATGGAGAATTACATTTCAAAGCCCAGTAAATAAAGTTTGTATTGATTTAATCCAACATGTAATCTGTCTTGCTGTCTGACACTGATTCTGGCAATAAAAGAGAATCATGTAAGACAGCATTATAGATAATACGACCATAGATCAAATGGAGTTTGGGCAAGAGAAGGGCAATAGATCATGTTCAAGCTAGACTGCTTAGCTCTGGAATTCATAAACTACCTCCTAAATCGAGGTGGCGTTCAATTTAAGTTTTCAATTTACAGATATAGAATTTGGTGTGAGCTTGATGTCATTTCATTGTCAACTTCAGCAGGGGTTCTGTGGATTGGAAACTGTATCTCTCTCAATTTGTCGCTCAAAAGAAGAATACACATACTATAAATAAATGAATACTACACAGATCATCTGATTGAATCATTGTGATCATCTGGCAAGTATTTTAAGGAGAATTCTACATGTCATTTAAGCGTTACTTCATTTACTGTATACCCTTTTTCCAAACTTGATTTTCTTCGCAGTTTAGGTACAGAAGGTTACTGAAGGGCTGTAATGTTAATGCAGTTTCATTTGTTTTGTCATTAGCACTGCATTTATTTTTATCTTTTAAATCATATTTAACACAAGCATAGTATGAATATATCAAATATACTATATAATAATATATAATATAATAATAATATAATAACTGTAATGACACCTAACTGAGGATGGAGATTTCTTGTTTGTGGCTTCACTGGTGTAAAACAGAGATTAGGGGATTTTCCAGTCAAAATCTGACTGAATTAAGAACATCAATGACAGTATTATCTACCTTACAGTTTATGTTATCTGACATTCTAAATAGTATAAACAGTAGATAGGACATTACCTCGGTTTAACACAATTGTTCACTGAAGGGCTTAAAAGTGTGATGTGCTAGCACCACTCTCTGGTGACAAAGATTACTGTAGTGCATCAGTAATAAGGTACAGGTAATGTAGATAACAGAAGCTCAAAACTGGAGAACAGCCTGATATTTTGAATATAACTGAAATGTTATTTCATGCTTAAACTTTTTAAAACTGTTGTGAAGCTCTTGTTCCTTGTGACAGTGAATTAAATGCCTGTTCTGGTGAGGTAGAGATACAGCTTGTCTTATCCATTACTGCACTCTAGTGTTATAAATAAGCATGTGCATGTTTGCCAAATAACACTGACTACACCAGGGGATCTCAAACTTTTTGGTGTCAAGACCCCAAAAAAGATACACATCAGGCCGTGGACCCATTATTGATTCCATAATTGTCTATACTGTAGACTTTGACAATGACTTGACGCCTGTTCCAGTGAGATTGGCAGTAAAGAGAGTGAAACATAAGAACTGAATAGTCATTCTTATACATTCTGTGACAGAAAAAGTTGGCAGAATTCCCTTATTTAATAATCCGCAGTGGATTATTAAAGACAGGTATACTAGAACTATTGGATTACTCTGACACCCCAGAACAACAAATACCGGAAACGTACCTTGTCTGCTCCAGTGAAGTAAATCTGCGGGGCTTTCCAAACTGTGCTGACCTTTTCTCTGAGTTTCCGGTCCTTTGGAATTATGAGGCATTTGTCGATGTCCAGTTCTGGATAGATCACATGTAGTCCACCCCTTTATCAAAGAAAGATAAAAGAAACTCACTCTAAACTATTTTGTATTACATTGTGCATTGAGGGCAAAGTGAACACGCTCGCATCCTGAGACAAACATAGCCAACTTATATAAAAAGGTTACAATACCACCATGAGCAAAAAGGGCAACACTGAGAGAGAAAATGAAGCTTCCGTTCAGATTCCTTTTTCTTTTCCGTGTTTATTTTGTTTTTTATGGGAATACTTACTGACAGAAAGAAGAATCCACCGAGCTCAGGGTGTCTGGTGTTGCTTCCACATGGTAAAGCCCCAAAACACAAGCACATAACACCAGAAATGGTACTGCGGCCTGCAGACAGCAGTGTTCAGTTAGTCAAGGAGTCAATGGTATTTGTGTATTTTCAACACAATGTCATTAATCTGTCAAGCAGTATAGCTTTTGAACAGTAAAGAAAAACTGCATTTGCCTGTGGTGGAAAGTAACTGAAGTGCTTCATGCTTTTACTGTTTTAATATAGGCTTGCAACTGGTCTATAAAATGTCAAAATAGTTTAAAAATGCCAGATGCAAGTTCTCAGAACAAAACATGACCTGTTTAAAATGTTGTTTAGTCTAAAAAAAAAACTTTGTTTGAAAGAAAGAAAGGAAAGAAAAGTCTGAATACACTGAATGAAGAATGTAGAAAAGCAGGAAACCTTAACATTCCAGAAACTGGAAGTTTTAGCCATTTTTCCATGAGCATTTTCTCAAGAGGTCTAATAGGACTATGTAAATGTGACTGCTATAAACTATTTCACCTGACCCCACCTACACCTGTTCGACTAGTCTGACACATCAGCAGGATGAGCAGAGAGCTTGTTTACTTAAAATCAAGGGTCTTGATTCTCGTTACAGTCAATGTCATAGTTGAATTGCAACATTTAAATGTTTGGAAAGCGTCTGCTTCAACTAGCAAGTGGCACAATGTAGCAACATGTATCCTGTGCTGCTAATGCGTTACTATATTTAAACTTAATAACATTAGCTACATTTGGCTACATCCTGCCACAACAGGAAGAACATTGATATTGATATTGATAACGAACTCGTATATTAAAAAATGACTTTTTTTTTTAAAGTGATTTAATAGTCACATTAGCTCAAAATTAGCCTTCACCTGTTTTAGCTAGTTTATATTTATGCATCGTGTCACACTTTTACAGGTCGACACTGACGGTGCAGTTTATCAAGTGCTCGTTGCGACCGAGAGCAGACATTAAATATCACTGAATGCAAACTACCGTCTTCGTAGGGCAGCTACATTCATTGTCTGATTAACATTACCATCTCTGAAGTCGTCCACTTGATTTTTTGTTGCAGGTTTCTTCTCTCTCCTTCTGGTTGCAGGTCTCACTTGTCGCTGCCGCCTCTGCGCAGTGTTCGATCCTGCTGACCTATGAGGCTGCAAAAGTTTCATATGACATAACTGAAAGGGCTTTAAAAAAAACACTGGCGCCATAGCCACACTGCACGTTTCTCCTTTTTTTTATTTAGTAAATATTATTTACACATTTTCAATATGACATGCTACAGAATTTAAGATTTACAGCTCTCAAACAATAAAAACAGCATTTGAGAACAAAAGTACCTGATGACTAAGGAAAAGTCATCCAGGCTTTGAACACTGAGAAAACATTCAAGTTTTTTTCTTTTAATTTATTGTTTTTTTTTAATATATATTTAATTTTCAACCATTTCAGAACAAGGCCTCTTAAACTATGCAGTAGTGATTGTGCAGCATATATAATATATTCCTGGTGCTGCTAAAGCTCCCTTTGGTTTGTGCTTCTCTGCAGCGGTGATATTAGCACCCAAACATATGGAAAAGGGCCCCAGTGACAACTTCTTTGTAATTTAAGATCTAATCTTTTTTATTTATTTTTTTTTTTGACCTGATGTTGTCTACATATCTAAGGGTGTTGCTATACTCTCTAATGCAATTTGAATAGAACCTGGTGCTACAAAGCAGTGCAAGTTTGTAGTTTCAAAGTCAGACATTTCTGTATGCATAGTACAAAAACAGTATCTATGTTAAACTATGCGAAGGCTTGTATCAATCGCTATGCCAAGTTTGAATTGCAAGTCATCACACGATTACTATTTACACGTTTGAGTTACAATCTAACTTCTAATGGCCGTAATGTCTCAGCATTTCTTAATAATGCAGACTCCAAAATTGGAGCTTATTAGCATAAAGCAACTTTAAAGTAATGAAACTAATTTGAAATCCCTGCATTAATTTAATAGTTAATGTCACAAATTAATGGTTTGTCATTATGTTAGTCTTGTGTGGCCTTAATGGACATAGTCTTTAATTAGTTTTGTGTTTATGGCTCTAAAAGAACATTAACCCTACTCAATGTCGAACTCCCCGAATCATACATTGATTGCTTTACATCTAAATGATGGATTCTGTACATTTACAAATACACACACAACCTAAAGAGCACCATGGTAACTGAAAATATAGCAAACAAACTAGTAACCACAGTAACACTACTTTACATTCGATACCATACACTACACTGTACATTAAGGCATGAGGTGTTGTTGATGCAAAACATCAGCAGAAGATTCATTGATAAATGCAATGCACTGAGGAATGAAATGCATGTCTATGAAATTTATCAATCATACCACCAAGGCAAATCATAACAATATAGACCCTCCTGCTGTTAAAGTAACAGAATAAACTATTTTGTGTAAAAACTGGACATTATTTATTAGTCAGATGATCTAATAAATTAAAACATTCAGAATTAGGATAAAGATAACTCTAAAAGAGTACAGTCCCATCCCCTGATGTCTGACCATGTGTGCCAAAATATTTGATCAATTAAAATATTCAAAATGACAGTTCTTATTAGCAATAGACAAAAGTTAATGTAATTGACAACAATTTAAAGCTACTGCTTAGAGCACCAGCACCACTACTAATCTATATCTTACACTTTAAATGACAATGAATAAACTTCATCTATTTTGGCGAGCCCTGTTCATGCAGTGTAGTTATTAGGTCAGGAGTTAATACAAGCAAGAAATTGGTTTCGTCACTGAATTGATTCATACCACTTAATTTGTTTTTAGCTCTTTTTTTGGGCTCTAAAAATCTGTCAAGTCAAAAAAACATATGGAAAAGTATAACCCAATCATATGCGGGATTAAAGCAAGCCTTTCTTTAACATATGCTGCAAAAGCAAACGCTGCAATCAGAATTGACTTTTTTCATAACAATGGTATGTGTTTTTTTATTTTGATGTACCATATGTGTTTATAATGTCCTTTATATAAACATGTGTCTACTTCACTTTGCACTGTAATCCTATTTAACTATTAGTCAACTGTTCATTTGAACTGCCTGTAATTTGCATGTATACTACAGTATATAATAGATGTAACTGGAGGTCAGCACAATGAGTATTCAGTTATTTTCAACAACAGTTTGTAGCTGCACAGTAACTAAATGCAAGTCGGATAAGTCAAGTCTATATTCAGTATATGTATTACTCAGTAATACTGTACGATTCTGCTCACTGCCTGCAGTGCACAATATTAGTTAGAGTGATGCAAGTTACTTGCAGTTCATCTGATATTCTGTACAATTTACAATACTACCCATCTTCACTGAGCACCATGCTTACAAGTCCATCCTACAATCAAGTACAACAGTAGATGACAGTTTTGAACATATACTGTGAGGTGTGAAAAACAAATCATGAAAAATGATTTGATCTAAACCTCTTCACAACTTTTTTTTTTTTAAACATTTTAAATATTATAATCTTATATCCCCAGTTCCTTTCTTTACATTTACTGCAGCGTGTCATGAGACCATACTGTCTTTAGTGCCGTTACCAGGATGCTGCTATTGGAGGTTCTTGTGTGTGTCTCTGTGGAGAAGAGTCCAGAAAGTGCTTGAGGTGTGTAGAAGAGTGGATGATTTCTCCCAGGCGTGAGGAAGCCTCCTGCATGTACAAGTGTTACAAAGCCAACTACAAGCTAAATCTCTAAAGGCCAAATCACCACCAGTGACAGATGCGTCCAACACACCGTCAGAGAGGGATGGTAATGTACATGTGGTCACTTTAGCTCCTGAAATGTTGCTATTGGCTCTGAGATGCATCCTGTGTTGCTTTCCAGGATGACAGTGATCAAGCTGATGGAACCATTCAATGAACAACTGAAGGACTCAGGAAACATGTGTGCTAACAAGCCTCATCAAGCAACACATACTGTAGGAAATAAAAGTGATCTGTTTTGTTTTTGCTGGCATTTTACAGAAAATACAGATATTTTCCTTAATTTGGGATCTCTTGTGTCTCAGGACACTGAATGCATTTATGTAAACTAAAGCCCTTTTGTGACGAGAGGCCACAAATCACATGATCACAATATGTAAATGCTGAGTGTGTCCAGACTCGCATCACTTTTAGGTGTGCAAGCCGTTCACAAACATTCAAATATAGAATGACGGAACAAAAAATAACAGGAGTGGAACTTTCCATTATTTTCATGTATGCGTACATGATCGTAATCAGCATGGTTAAGAGTGACTTCGGTAACTGATTCCTGGCAGGCTATATCATTGTTACATCCTGTTAATGAGATCATACTGTACACATGGTTTGGTAGATTGTACAAACACTTAAGGGCAAAGTGTCATATCTCTGAGACTGAGAAGTTCTGTGTTGAATTGCTGGTTGTTGCAGCTGATAAGCAGCACTTGGTTATCAGTTCAGGTTAATTGATGATAATTATGATCATAGGTGGAAAGTTCTGTGCCAGCAGAGTCCTATTTCTAAAACATAAAACTCAGGTATTGGAACATACAACAATCAATATGAGTTGTTATTTGCACCAGTTACACTGTGCCATTTGTCAGTGAGGTTCACATCACTGAGGTTTGAGTCTCATGTACACCAAGCTAAAAATCTAAGAAACAAAACCTATTACTTTAACTGCCAGTTTGAGCTGAGCTTGCAAACCTGGAGGAGTGCCGTTTGACTGCAGAGGCAAACAAACAGGAGGAGAAACTGTGTGCCTGAATAATTGGGGCGTGCCTAGCCAGCAGTGCTTATCTTCTATTGTATCTTTTACAACTCGCATCCACACTGATGTACTTCAGAGTGGACCTGGCCTTACCACTTGGTCAGATGACAGCAGATGAGCCAGAAGAGGGAGAGTTTGAGTTAGGGGAGGAAGGGAGGTTCCAGAAGAGCCACTTGCGTTTACATTGCCGTCTCTGGTACAGGTAGTCCTCCTTGTCGCGCTCTTTGCGTGCTCTTTGGTAGTGGTCATCTTCTTTCAGATACCACACAGGTGGCCAGCGATGTTTCTCAAAGTACTCTTGGTTGTCTGCATCAGAATAAGCTGTTTTAGGAATATGTAGGATTTTCAAGACAAGTCCCCACAATGCGTTTTACATTTCAGCATCACAACAATGAATTGCAGCACACAGAGGTTGGAAACAGATTTAAGTGATATATTTTTCACAATAATAATTGTGCTAGCAATACAGCAATAAATCGTTTACTTTATACATTTTAAAAATGAATAATAATAAAATAGAAACATATCCTTACTACACATGATGTATAACAGCAAAAACCACAGTATTTAGAAACGAAAACATGAGTTGAGAAAATATAGTATAGAAAATTGATTACTGATTTTGCAACACTGTAGACTGGCTACATAGTGCAAAGATAAAGGCAGCTTAAAACCAGATTTTTTGGATTATTGATAAAACCAGTACAGGGTGGGCAGTTACAGTTCATTCTGAGGAGTCCTTGACTATATATTTAAATAATTATTTTGCTTCTGAAGTGCTGGAAACTAAATATAGCTCCTCCTGAGGTAAAATGAGTCCATCTGTAATCTGCTTTTACAGATTTCATTTAAATTGGCCAACTTTCTTTAAAGCCTATTAAACATGTTTTTATTTCATCCTCTTATGTTTAAAATGGCCACACAAGACACACAAGTCTTCATGTACTGTAGCACCCAAGTGGTTGCCATACTGTAGGTCAGTGTTTAGTATGAATGAGAGGGCATTAAAGGTTGCTGGTGTGCTACCAGATACACGAGTGAGTTACCTGTAGACTTGGCCTTCATGTCTCGGGGAAACTTGCGGCAGACACTGTTGTAGTTGGTGCAGATGTGGTGAAGACACCAGCCAGTGAGCTGCTGAGCTCCGTGGAACTGTCAACATACAAAATCATTATTTGTCTTTTTTTTATTGTTATTGTACATGACAAGCATTGTTGTTGTGGGGTTTTGTTGTCGCATTGGATGCAGACACCTCATTATTTGAGCTAAACCTCTACTTCTACATAAATTTAGCAAGAGTTTGCGCAACATCAGCTTCAGCTGCAGTAATTTATTGCTCACTAAGGAGCTTCACTTAATACTTATAAT